GAGAGGGATAGGTGTGTGAAAATCGCTTGTGGTTTAGAATTTGCGGTCAAGCGGGGCGATTCCCGGTGGGTGAGATAAAGTTTGGAGCGGCGGGACAGTAATCAAGCACTTAGCACTCATCACCGGCTTTACACGTGCAACACGACCCTTGCACAATACCCGACAGTCAATCTAATCGCTGTCCACTGCAGCGCGCGCGCGCTCTTCTCTCACGCCGTCGCCGCCGCGCTCTCTCTGAACGTGTCCATCCATTGCGTCGAGATACATTTTACATTTTGTGCGGCAGGGTTAGACGTTTGTTAGGATTTAAGAGCTGCCATTACGAGCGCTGGGGGAATCGCTAATTTGGTAGAAGGGAAAGGTGTCGCCGATTGTAATATCGTGATTTAAGGCCTGGTCTGGGTCAACTCGGTCATCGTCCTCCTCCTCCCAGCTTTCGTGAAATGAGTTCCACCTGGTGAGATGACACGGATGGGACCAGATTTAATTGCTCGACTTTGAAGGTGGAGACTAAAGAAAGTGAGGGCACTTCACATATCAAGAGAAGAATTGCCACTAAATGTATATTAGCCATCTAAACCACGGTGCATGTTGCCTTTGTACTGCACAATTTAAGCCGCGTGTCTCAAGAAAGGGAAGGAGTATTGAAATGTCATTCTATATTTTGCTGTAAATCACGGATTTTTGAAAGCGGACAACTTCATTTGAAGGTGAAACTTGACCGAGGTGCATCACCGACCCACATAAAGGCCTATTTCACTCTTTTTTTATATTTCCACGCCCTAGCGTTCCCTCCCAACATAATCACAGAGCTCGAGAAATGCCAGAACGTTTATGTTTAAGACCCCTTCACTCGTAACAAATGAACAAAATCACTTTTTTCTCTCCCTTCTTCCGTCTACTTCTCTGATTTTTTTTTTCACCAAGCGCGCATTTTGTTTTGCCTTTGATGTTGTGGCCTCGGCGCGGCAATTCTCGTGTAACAACAATTTGGAACATTTTGCGGATTAGCAGGCCTGGCCGCTGTCAAAGATCTTCCCCCCGGAATGCGGTAATACGACCTGGCCCCGGACAAAGACACCTCCCGCTCCGAACCCGCCCGCCCCGCCCCGCGCGATTACCGGCAAGAAGGATACAACAAAAAATAAGGCACCCGATTCTGGCAGGGCATTTTCAGTTTCACAGAGAGCCCATTTGACCTGTGCAGCAAGCGTTCATTTAGAGCCATCAAAATTTCAGGACCTTTCACAACTCGACTCGGCTAATATTTGGACCGGGAATAGGGAGAAAAGAATGCCAAAAGCAAATTCACTATGTAAAATGTAGCACTGTTTTAGTTTGCCCAAGTGAAAAATAAAAATGAGAAGATTATACACACGACATGTCACTGTTCATATATACATTTCAACCGATTAACGATGGATGGTGTAATATGAGAAAACAAACACTGAATGAATGAGGCACAAATTGTAAAAATCACTCGAAAAGATCAAATTGGTAATTCGATGACAGTGATACATTTAAACACAGATATACATTAACACAGCTATATTTGTGGACTATAAATGTGCACAAATTTGAACCACAGTATTATCATTTTTCCATTTGCATTTGGAGTTAAGAAATTATTTTGTAATAAAAAAAAATGTTTTATACGTAGGCTTTTACCACCAATATTATGATTTAGAATTGGGTTTTTGTGTAAGGTCATGGAATAAATAAATAATTAAACTTGGTATATTTTATTTATGTGATGCTTTTATTAATTGGCTGCTGGGTGGATGAGGGTTTACTACAAGTATTTTTTACGTAAGATAACCCCATAAACTTTATTAAAAATCATGATATATTGAAATTATGAGACTATAAATGTATGCTCATGAAGATATATAAACAAATGGGAGAGAGGCGGTGCAGTGGCCAGCGAAGTGTGCACCATGTGCACAGCAGCCTGAGTTCAATTCTTGGGCATGGCTAACATCGGTGGCGAACATACACTCTTCACCAACCCACACTGACCGGCCTGGTGAAGTAAGGTCAAACAACCTCCATGACAAATTTAGATTTAAAGCTTTCGTGACTGCAGGGATGCATATTCTTGGTTCTTTCGGTAAAGTCACGTAGAAGGGAAACAATAAAATAATAAAAATATAAAACAATAAAATTCTCACGACGTTTCGACTGCAACACAAGCAATCATCATCAGGTGTGAAAACCACAGCAAGAAAATTTGAAAAGAATAAAAAAACGCCACTTTTTTCAAATTTTCTTGCTGTGGTTTTCACACCTGATGATGATTGTTTGTGTTGCAGTCGAAACGTCGTGATAATTTTATTGTTTTATATTTTAATTATTTTATTGTTTCCCTTCTACGTGATGACTTTACCGAAAGAACCAAGAATATGAACCTCCATGACAGTTTGTTGTTCTTCCCCCGCGCCTCTGGCTATGTACGGTGCGAAGGAAGTTCAAAATAAATACGAACAGATTCAGAACTGGGGAGACCTCTATCCACCAGAGCTGTTTTATTTAAATATATATGTGTGTGTCTATAAAAATATGTATTATGCATACTGTAAGTTTCCACCAATGCAGTGTATAAAATACAGACCTTACAGAGTACAAATGTTTCCCTATATTTACGTGCCATATGTAATTTTATTTATAGTTTTTCACTTGGAACACCATGATTACTATACTTCTTCGCTCTTAGAAAAGAAAGAAAAAATAAACTTGCTGTTTTGCTTTAATTATTCATGCCGCAGCACTGCAGTTTCTTCCACAGAGTTCCAAACAATGTTTACACAGCCTCTGAAGAGAAGGAGTAGAAATAAAGAAAAACCCTTACAAAGCGAGGGTCATCTGTGCAGCTCGCAGATGACCAAAGAATCGGCCATGCATGCTTTCTTTACGCTGTTGGTATAGAATTTATGAAACGTTGAAGTAGTACGTTCCCAAAAGCTTGCTTGTTTGGGCAGTAAATGTCAACATGAGATAGCTTAGGCGTGTGTACACAATTATTCTGTTATGTGCTCGCATCACAGGCAGGCATTTAAAGCATCCTTGTCGTAGTAAATAATAGCGGTTTAATGGGGTAGAATTCCCATGACTTGCGTCGCAATGCAGTATTTTTTTTAAAGAGAGCCCTATATTTGAATTGGATCTAGGTTACAATTTTATTTTTCGATTTAAAGCTTTCGTGACTGCAAGGATTCATCTTCTTTGGTTCTTTCGATAAAATTCATTATTGCAATTTATCGATTTGGTATTGTTACGTAGCTTCTCTGTCATTTGATTGAATAATCATGTACTAATGCTATGTCATTAGTGGGGGGTTTTTGACCATATTTCACCACGTTGGTCAGTGCGGATTGGTAAAGTTGGGGTGAGGGGTAAGATTGGACTAAATATCACTCTTGCATGACCAATGTTAGTCATGCCTAGGAATCAAACTTAGTTTTCCAGCTTCATAGGACAGTGTGTTAGCCACTGCACCCAGGAATCGAACGCAAGTTGCCAAGATCATAGTACAATGCCCTAACTACTGTTCCACTGCTCCAACTTGACACTTGATTTATTGGGCTATAAGAATAAGCAAGTACTTTGCATAATTTGAATAGAGGCTTGACAATGTCCCGATTGACCCTTTAGTATCAGTTGCTAAGCCATGGGTACATGGATCAAATTGCACATGTCAATGTTATCCTGATTGTTTTTTTAAGTTTTGCTGGCTGGCTGGCTTGCTGGAGGGAGGCACGGATGGATGGTCACGTCCAAAGGACATGCGCTTTGCTAGTTATCCTAATGTTGATCCATGGTGTATGTAACATACTACCTTCGTAAGTTAATATTGGTGATGTCAGCAGGCCTTCATGCAACAGTGGATACGCAATAGATGATGATGAAGTTCATATTTTTGGCTAAAATTATCATACCCGGCTTACGTATAATACTTTAAACATATATATTACTCATCTAATCTCTGCAGCAATTAATATTGTGAAGATATATTGTATTTCCCATTTGAAATGACAACTGTGATAATTTTGATTTAAAGCTTTCGTGACTGCAGTAATTCATATTCTTAGTTTTTTCGGTAAAGTCACGTTGATAATGTTTTGGTATATTTGTAGACAATTATACGGAGTATTGTTTCTCAAATATCCAGGTAGTTTGTGGAGGTGGGCAGCCTGCTTAGCCCTGCATTTGGGTGGCAGTGCATGCTCAACTCTCAGTCCAAAGTTCAATGATTCAGTGTCCCCTCTGAAGAGGTACTACAAACCCACACACATGCAAACGTATAGAAAGTTTGCATTATGGGTGAGAGGTTATAAGCCATCTGGTCAGAGTTTGTAACTTTGCCTAGAAGAGTTGTGAAGAAAACAGGTGTTAATTTTAATGATTTTTTTTGCAGTGTATGGAAGAAAAGTGGGGAAGAGGAGGAAAATAGATGAGTTTATAGGACTTTGTGAGATGTTCAAGATCGTAAAAAGATGTAAAGCATATGTCGTGGCCATCGACCCTCAGACATGAGGATCACATTGGATAAATTGTTGGTATAACTAGTAATGGGTGAGCGATGTAAATGCTTATGCTATTCAAGAAGGGCTATAAAGCTGTCATTTGGCACTGAAATAATCAGTGTATGCTTATAACTATAAACATCATAAAACCTACATTTCCAATTTTTGGGCTCCGCAAAATTTTTAAAGTGAATCTTTTAAACGGTTTTGTTTTAAAACCAAAGCCTATGAAAGTTTGCATTTTAAGATTTTGAAGAGTGCTGAATCCCAATATATCCATGTTTTTGATCATGCAATTTGTCAGGTGCTTTTTGGAAGAATGTGATGCTAAAGTTAATATAAAGTGAGAACAGCCTGTTTTTATTTCGTGATTACTCTGGCATATCTTGTGTAATTTATAAAAGTAGATGAGCCTTTTCTATAAAGAGCTGTTCTAATTGAGACAGACAAATATACCCACAAAAGAACAGACAGACGAAATGTGATTTTTCATGTTTAGCCAACTTCACATTAAGTAAACAACAGTGACCACTTAGCGATTCCCACCTGATTTGGTATTTGCACTAACACGTGCGCTTGTTTATCGTCGTATTTAATTGAACATGATAGCTTACACATATAACATTGTAAAACATTCCTGTCTCTCTGAAGTCTGAATGCATCATCTTGCTGTCGGCATTCTCCCATCACGCATAAAACTGGATGCTCCATTGTGACCAAAATAATATAAAATAAGTGCACGGGCGTGACCAGCATTCATATCTATAACAACAAAGCATCAAATGTCCACTGAGCCACTGAGTAATGAATAACTATGACATTAGTTCTAGCCATGACCTAGAGGCACTGGGTGTGTTAATCTCTGACAGTGCCGATAGTCCTAAAATATATGACTGCTTTAAAACTAATAAAAACCGAAAGAAAAATCTTAATTTCAGAAAACCCCAGATGGACTTCAGATTATCTCAAACAAGGACCGAAGAAATCTTTACAGCTGCTGTAAAATATAACTGAACTCCGCCACTGACTGGTGAACGAAATTATTTAATATTTTATTTTATTATTTTAATCTGCGTGATCTACAAAAAAAATGTACGTAGGTTTATCGTGAACACGGTCATAAAAGTGACAGGAGGAAATGTAAACAGTTGAGACAAATGGCAATAAAGGCACAGTTACCACTGTGCTTAGACCTTCACCAAATCGCTGTTGGCAATAACTATCCCGTTTATGGCTATTGGACACTGTGTAAAGTTCACGCAAGTGGAATTCTTTGAACAACTCTCTTGCGCCGCCTTGTGTAAAGGAGAGACGCCTACCTTCCAATCCGGAGCTTATTTTTTCCTGAACTTATTCATTAGAATCTCCATCCTCCTCTAATCCACACATTATGACTTTCGTTAATAAACTTTAATGCCATGTAAAAGCTGTATGATTCCCAGGAACAAAATTGTGCTAAAAATATAAAACCCCAATGAATCATTTGAGATCAGTGCACGCACTGCATATCAACCACTGCACTTGATATCGAAGAAAACATGTCTCTTGCAAACCATTCACAAAGTCGCCATTGAAAATAAACAGTGCTATAACAAAAATCAATATTGAAATGTGACAAAATAATTCAGTTATTAATCAGTGAATATTGCCTATTTCGGAATATCTCAGACATATGGACACTCACAAAGAAAAAAAACATTGAAATGCATCCAAAGAAGCGTGGAGAGATGCAATGCATGGTATTATACTGATAAATATAAAGTGGAATACATGAATGGGAAAACATGGACACGTTGGAAACATTATATTGACTGTTAGTAAAATTGGGCTTGGGGCAGGACACATCGCTGGACGGGATGATGGTTGGTGGTCAAGGGATATGCTGAAAGGCATTTACCGAAGGGATGGAGTGATGACATCAGCTCATGTGTAGGTGCTGGAGGGATTGTTACATCACGGGACTGTGAGAGATGATGTGGCTGCGGGAGGCCTTCATCTAGCAGTCGTTTGAAAATGATGCCCTTGCACTTGACTGGAATATGTATCCTTTAAAATTGCAAATTTTACAGAAACTTTCGTGAATAAGTCAAGAGAATACAAAAACATTGAGCTCCTTTGAAGCTACTTCTTGCAGATTATTAAAAAGGTTGCCAAATTATTGAACAAAACATTATTGCAGACATGTTATATCCCTTTCACGTGTTTTCTTGAATTTCACATTATAAGCCAAGGTTAAAGACATTCATAAATTACAACGCATGTGCCTATATAATTCATGTTTTAACATAGTTTATTCACGTAAATATAACATTTTGATTGTTTGCAGGTACTGTACTTTGTTTAATACGTGCATTCAGAAAGCAATTACATTTCATGGAATATAGGGTAAACAACTTGGAAATTTGGAATAGAATGTGGAAAGGAACTGTTGCAGATGTAATTATGGAGGGGGACACGTTTAGAGGATGAGGAGCACAAGCACAGGAATGTGGCCCCCAGAGGTCGGAGACCAAAGGGAAAACCTGAAGACCCAATGGTGGGCTCATTTAAGAGTGGACTTTGGAAGTTGGATGTTGCAACTACTACCAAGTCTACTGGAAGGAAGTGACAGTGAGGTGTGTAGTGCCATGACATCTTTGTTGACTATTCTTTTTTACATATTGACGGTATGGAAATGTGAAATGTCACATAAAACAGAGCTACCGTGGTAAAACAGTCAATTGTGTATGGAGCATAATTTGTGTGTATTGAAGACCTTCTTGTGCATTTTTTTTTATCTTTCAGAATTAACCTTATTCGGGGTTAACAGGCAGAGGGTGGATTTGTAAATCAGCGTTTTGTATGAGTTGGTCCACAGTAATGTAAGGGCGAGGCACGCTTGGGAGGACGGGACGCAAGCTGGAGTGAAATGTGAGCGTGTTTGTGTGTTCAGACTCTGGTTGATGGTGCAGAGTGCCCGACTTTACGTGATTTCCTTCTCGCACCACCACTCCTGGCGATGGTTGAATATGATTAAGCACAGATGGCGTGAAAGGCAGGACTTCATCCATATCGAGGCGCTCAAAGCTGGATGTCACGACAGCTTCTACTGGCTTTAATTTATGAGCATCCAGCTGTTTACTGCGCGGCAGACTAGGAAGCAATGATGGAAGAATGGGCTTGACTTTTAATGCTTGTGTGCCTTGGGCACCCTGCCATAACCTGGAGCTGTGTAGTCGTGCCATAGGATGCAAACTCAATTGGCCTTTCTTGCTCTCAATAAAAAAAGTATCAACTGCCATGTGACTAGCTGCAGTGGCTGCATCAGCCCTAGGATGTGGTTTCTGAGAGTCTTTGTCTTTGCGGAGGGGTCGATTGGCCAGCCGATGTGGAGTGTCTTGTTGGGTTTCTGTCACGTGGATTTTCGGGCAGACACGACGACTGGGAATGTGAGCAGGGTCAATTTTACTCACAGCCACGAGTCGACCCAACTCGTCAAACTCTCCAATTGCGGCAGAGTTGGAGAGCTGAAGAGAGCCACCATTATTCTCTCCAGTCTGGATCCGGCCAGCCTGGATCTTTAAAAGATTTTGGAAGGTGGCTGGCAAAAGAGTAACATGCTTGGGCATCGGCCGAGGTTGTGATTGGTTGTGCAGCATTTTTGATTTCAGCTCCTTTTGAGCAAGCTCTTTCTCTGTTTCCTGCAAGGATTTTGTAAGGTCAATGAAACTGCTGGTATTCAGTGGACCGATGTGAGGTTTAAACTTTACCTTGCTTCTCTTGGGCTTTTCTAATTTTTTGGTCGGTGGTGATGGTGTGCGAACTACCACTTGATTTTCATATGTCTGAGCACTAGCTATAGTATCCTCTAATGCCATTATCAACTTCAATTGGTCGGCCTCTTTCGGACTATCAATTTGTACACTGTCAACCTGCTCCTCTTCTTCAAGATCCACTTCAGGCTCCTTGGGAAATAATTCAGGCTCCTGTGGAAACATGACATTTGATCAATATCGGTACACTTCACATAAAACAAAACACTTGCTTGCATACATGTATATCGCACATCTCACGCAAGTTTATTCATTATTGCTAGAGATATTTTTGTGAGACTATACCAAGCACGAAAGGGACATTGAACTAAAGTGAACTGAGAGATCTGGTACATGCAAAAGCACCATACAGGAAGTGAAAAAGTGTATTATCCATTCGCCTCAACCAGAGGCCCAGTAACAACTAACCGGGGCAGTGCGAGAAGTCAGTCCAGAGGGGACAGCATCTGTAATGGGGACAGATCCCTGTGCCCAGGTGTCGATGGAACATGGCTGGGGTTCCAGGTCCTCCTGCCAGCTGGAGTCACATTCCACCGATAGTTGCCCCTCGTCTCGCGCCAGGAAGCGGCACTCAATTACATTCAAAAATGCTTCCTTTGCCTGGCTCACTGTGAATGGGATCAGCTGGTGTACGTGACAGAGAATGAGAGAGATAATAACGAAATTATATTTAAAAAACAACGTTACATTGTCTATCAGTGAAGTGGTTAAATTCATAAAAATGCAATACACTATAAACAACTTTGGTGGCTTTGCCATAGGTTGGTGCAGACTTTTGACTCGATTTAAAATTTAATTACTAGATCAGGTAAGTGAGATAAACATTGGATGCAGAGAACCTGTAACATTTGTATACATCTCAATACAAAAAAAAACAAAAACATCACAAAAATACACTTCCTTGAAATTATTTAAATCCAGTTGGGGTAGTTGTTGCCTTTTTTTGTAAAGCCAATTAATTAAGATCAACGCACACTTAAGTCAACGACGGTGAACCTTAACCAACGCCGAGACGAACCTGTCTCTGGATGTATATTTTGTGGCACTCCTCCATGGTGCACTCCAAGAGCTCCTCAAGGAGGTCCCTCACGTACATCTCACCATCCTCCAGGTCCAGTATTGCGAGCCACTCGGCCTCGGTGAGGCGACCAGGGATGATATCGTCGGACACGACCACGGGCGCGGGGGCGACCGGCGGGGGAACAGCCGTGCTGCGGCCCTTCTCTGTCCGAGACCTCGTGGCGCCAGAGCGTGACATGGTCTGCAAAGCCACATGTTGAGACGTCACTTGCAATAGTCATTATCATCATCATGAGCAGCAGACATGTATCAGAATCTGAATATTTATTTATACTAGAGGAATCCAATGAACTATACATTTATTTTTCGTAGATGTCCAGTAGGGGCAGGTCTGCATACATACATACATGTATTTTGAACTTCTTTCGCAGCCGTACGTAGTCAACCGTGTTAATCGGAGGTGCGGTGGAAGGACAAACTAAACACAAAACACAATTCTAAAGAAATTCGTTTTCGTTCTCGATTTCAAAGTGCCCAGCTCCAGTGGCTTCCTAATGTCAAAAGGAAGAGCGTTCCAGACGGCCACATAAGCGCGCATCTGAAAGCGCGCGATGCAATGGCCGTCTTTGTTCGATGGCCAGTCATGATCAATCCACTGATGGATGACCGCTTTCTCAAGTCATTGTCAATCTCTCACGATCCTGCGATGTATAATAATCCGCAAACGAGCTCACTTTAGAACTCCAATGGCCACGGTGGAGGTCCCTCCCGTGGCCGACAGTCTCGTCCGTTCGCCATCGCCCCTTCTAAGCGTCGTGTCGTGCCCAGGCCGAACTGTTCTGAGCAGTTTGAGCGACAACATTTCCAATGCGTGTGAGGAAGACCTCTCCACACCACCCCCACCCCGCCTCCCACACCTCCGATTAGCACGGTTGGCTACGTACGGTGCGAACTGAGTTCAACATACACACGTGACATTATCAGCCAGGCACAAAGGAGTGACAGGACCGTAAAACTACAACCATGAGGGGTGGGTGGATCCAAGATGAGGTCTCAAGAATTCACACCGGCGCGATCTTGAGGCGGGCTCACCGTCTCGCGGTCCCTTCAGCGCGGCGCCGAGCGGCGGCGCGTACGAAACGACGCAGAAGTAGAGGCAACGACGGGTGCACGAAGGCGCAGTCGAGGAGGGAAGCCAACGAAACACACGCGGAGAGTGTTGAGCACAAATGCCGCGAGACGTTCCGTGCCCAGGGCCGCGTGGTGGTTACCGTGGCGACGCCATCGCCGCGGCGGCTGCGTCGCTATGCGACCGCGGTCGCGCGTCTCGTCGCCATTTCCGCGTGCGCGATGACGTAGGAGGGGCGGGCGTCGCTCGGCGACGGCGACGTCACCCGCCGCCGCCGTCGTCACCTCCTTTACAAATCAACGTTGCTCGGTCGTGCGTGATGACGTCGCCGAGCGGCGGCGCGTTGACGTCATTACCTCTCACCCCCCCCACCAACTCAACGAGAGAAAGAGACGCCACCGAGGCCATGACGTCCACCACAGCCGCCGCCGTTTCTTCTTCGTCGTCGTTAAGCAGCGGCGGCGGCGGCAACATCAACAACAGCGCGGTGTACAAGAAGGAGAAGAGCATACAGATGAAGAACAGCGCGTCGGCGCTCTACAACAACCTGAGCGTGCTGTGCGTGCCCGAGCGCAGCCTCACCTACCTGGCCGTGGTGCATCGCTCGTCCGTGTGCATGGTGAGCGCCTCGGCCGACGGCCTCAACCTCTCGCACCGCCAGCTGCAGGCGAAGGAGGGAGGCGCCGCCGCGCAGGGAGCATCGCTCGTGCTGCAGGTGAGGGAGGGTGAGGCGGGCGGGTGAGTCGAGGCACGTGGCTGGGAGTCGGAACACGCGGGGGGTAGGTGTTGTTTTTTTTACTTGCGTTGCTGGATGGACAACTCCGGTGAGGGACATGGTTGTTGCCCAGGCGTGGTCGTGGCCAGGGGTAAAGTGATGTGAATCGCCAGGTTGGACGATGAACGCGAGGGTTGAGTCTACGGGCGGTGTTTGGGGGCAAGGGGCGAGTGAGCGGGTGGACTCGTGGCTGAAGGGGTCACGTGAACCCATTACATGACACTATGTAACACACATTCTTGGTTCTTTCGGTAAAGTCAAGAAAGCTTTAAATCTACAGTGAGTGAAAAAAGTATTTGATCCCCTGCTGATTTTGTACGTTTTCCCACTGACAAAGAAATGATCGGTCTATTTTTTAATGGTAGGTTTATTTGAACAGTGAGAGACAGAATGACAACAAAACAAGAAAAACCCATGTCAAAAATGTTATAAATTGATTTGCATTTTAATGAGGGAAATAAGTATTTGACCCCTCTGCAAAACATGACTTAGTACTTGGTGGCAAAACCCTTGTTGGCAATCACAGAGGTCAGACGTTTCTTGTAGTTGGCCACCAGGTTTGCACACATCTCAGGAGGGATTTTGTCCTACTCCTCTTTCCAGATCTTCTCCAAGTCATTAAGGTTTCGAGGTTGACGTTTGGCAACTCGAACCTTCAGCTCCCTCTACAGATTTTCTATGGGATTAAGGTCTGGAGACTGGCTAGGCCACTCCAGGACCTTAATGTGCTTCTTGTTGAGCCACTCCTTTGTTGCCTGGGCCGTGTGTTTTGGGTCATTGTCATGCTGGAATACCGATCCACGACCCATTTTCAATGCCCTGGCTGAGGGAAGGAGGTTCTTACCCAAGATGTGACGGTAACATGGCCCCGTCCATCGTCCCTTTGATGCGGTGAAGTTGTCCTGTCCCCTTAGCAGAAAAACACCCCCAAAGCATAATGTTTCCACCTCCATGTTTGACGGTGGGGATGGTGTTCTTGGGGTCATAGGCAGCATTCCTCCTCCTCCAAACACGGCGAGTTGAGTTGATGCCAAAGAGCTCCATTTTGGTCTCATCTGACCACAACACTTTCACCCAGTTGTCCTCTGAATCATTCAGATGTTTATTGGCACACTTCAGATGGGCATGTATATGTGCTTTCTTGAGCAGGGGGGACCTTGCGGGCGCTGACTATGGTCCCAGCTGCCTTGAGATCATTGACAAGATCCTCCCGTGTAGTTCTGGGCTGATTCCTCACCGTTCTCATGATCATTGCAACTCCACGAGGTGAGATCTTGCATGGAGCCCCAGGCTGATGGAGATTAACAGTTCTTTTGTGTGTCTTCCATTTGCGAATAACCGCACCAACTGTGGTCACCTTCTCACCAAGCTGCTTGGCAATGGTCTTTTAGCCCATTCCAGCCTTGTGTAGGTCTACAATCTTGTCCCTGACATCCTTGGAGAGCTCTTTGGTCTTGGCCATGGTGGAGAGTTTGGAATCTGACTGATTGCTTCTGTGGAGCACTCCCTTTAAAAGTGTGCTCCTAATCTCAGCTCGTTACCTGTATAAAAGACACCTGGGAGCCAGAAATCTTTCTGATTGAGAGGGGGTCAAATATCTATTTCCCTCATTAAAATGCAAATCAATTTATAAAATTTTTGACATGCGTTTTTCTGGATTTTGTTGTTATTCTGTCTCTCACTGTTCAAATAAACCTACCATTACAATTATAGACTGATAATTTCTTTGTCAGTGGGCAAACGTACTAAATAATCAAATACTTTTTTCCCTCAATGTATGTAACACAATTTTTGTTCTTGGGTAGTAAGTGTTAACCCGTAATTGCTTATGCCTAAAAAGTATAGAAAATGGCTATTATTCCCCACATACTTTGCTTTTATGACCAACACAGTGATATTTTGAAATGTACCTATTTTCAATGAAAAAATGGGCAAATTTGTGTATTTTCGTTCAAATAAAGTCAGACAAAAACAACACATGAATCAAAATCAACATGTATTTATGCTAAAGTAATGGACCTGAAATTTGTATTTCCCTGTTCAGGAATACGGGTAAACCGTATAGGTTGACAAGTGTGCATAATGTACCTACTTTGTAGAAAAGGCAAAAGGTGCAGGCCTGACATTTATTGCGTTAATGTTGACGGAAGGTCGTCCACGAGAGACACTATACACAATGTTTTATTTTGGCAGGTAAGGCCCACTGAGCTATATAGCTCTTTTTCAGAAGCGACCTGGCCACAAATGATAGCTCAGCGAAGTGGCTTATCACGTGGAAATTTGTAGCAGCCAAATACTCTAAACTAATGTGTCCACGACGAGAACATGCAAACTCCAAACATACAGCAGGCGTCAGGGTCGGGATCGAACCCACGACCCCCTGCATACCTAGCGAGGGAGATAACATCTCGCCACCGTGGCACTAGAGGGCGCCATAGAGAGCATGCATCTAAAACAGATACAGTATTTTCACATACGCTGTAATGTAAGTGTCATGAACGTCATAATTTAACTATAACTATTTATCGATGCATTGTCGCATCTCATGTATAAAAACAAATTGTGTCAGGGATTCAGTTCAGTTTCATTTATTAGGTATATAGCCTTGTGAGCCATGCGGCTCTTGACTCGGGTGCAACCGCAACAAATAAAAACATGAACAAGAAACATCTTAAAGTGACTACACGCAACAGAAAATCCAGGAAAAAACAGCAAAGTCCTCCAGATAAAGTACCGTGTTTCAACGCTGTGTGCAAAAATCCCAGTGGGATGCAAGTCAAACAATAACAACCATAAGACAATTTAGATTAAAGTTATCAGGCTAACTCTGTACTACAACAAACAAACATGGCTAAACCAAAACGTTTTAAAAATCACCAAAATAAAGCTATGAAAACAATGTGACAGTGATCGACCTAGGCGAGGCCATAACTGATTCAGACAATCGTCACTGGATTCAGACAATCGTCACTGGATGAGTGAATAGAGGTAAGGGCTGGGTGACCCAAGGTGAAGAGATTAGTGGTCTAGTGCGGGATTATTCTATATCACCTGCTGTAACATATAAATCATAAACATGCACATTCGGAAAGAAAATGGAATAAAAGGTTAAACACTTGGCAAGAACAATGCAGAGGTACGGGAGCTAGATGGTTTGATGCATCACAGGACTTATATGTTGACAGCATGGGATGGCCTTCATCCATCAGTGAATATATCATGGCTGATAATTGTCCTATTTTTAAGCGATGCATGTATTTAATATTATTTCCTTTGATCACAACAAACAATGAACTGCATGTGTTACGTGCTGTGGCTTTTTGAACGCCGTTGCAGGCCAGCTGGTGCATCCTCCCATCTCGGGTGCTGTTGGTGCTCACATCTCTCCGTGGGATACAGGTGAAAAATGACGGTGCTGCAGATATAATGGCGTTGCACACAGAGCAGTTCAAGCCACCAACTTTGCTTTTTCTCAAGAGTGTCTTCTTCTTGTTTTTGATATTATGCATGATTATTTGCAGATGTACGAATCGGATGGCTCTATAATGGTGTATTGGCATGCATTGGAAATTCCCGAGACTCCAACAGGTATCCTGCTTATGAGCGTGCAATAGTAACAATCTGAGGTGTGTATTTATATGCATATAAATAAGTGGACTGCATTGGCAGTGGTACACTTGCATGAATTAAAAAAAAGTTCCACACTTATCATTGACACTGCCTTATTGCATAATATATTTGTAATGGGCTGAAACTTTGAGGAATTTTCTGAAGAAAAGTCATTACCTGAAATGTATATTGTATATTTTAAGACACTGTTAATGATTGCGATGAGTTATTGTTTTCTTTGCATATTCACCTTAACCCAACGTTTGTTCACAATCTCCCAGGAGCAGAACAGAAGGTGAGATGGCAGATAACTGAGTTAAAAAGTCAGAGAGAAAGGAAGGATTTGGTTTGGAGGGTCGGTAGATTATGGCAGTGACCAGAGGAGTGGGACCAGAGAGTTTGAAAGTGATGCGTTCAAAGGACTGAACAGCAGGGATGGAGATGGTGGATGTTTTAATGTCCTTTCTGTACACTGCAGCAACACCACCTCCCCGCCCCTCAGATGGGGTTTGTCCATGTATGTATATCCTGTAGGTGTAGTCTGGTTGAGTGCGAAATAGTCCATCGGTTTATGCCAAGTTTCAGTGATACAGAGAAAATCCAGGTTATTGTCAGTAATTAATTCATTTAAAATGAGGCTTTTATTGTTTAGTCAGCGGGTGTTGAGCAAAGCTAGTTTCAGGTGACTTTGCTTCGTGGTGAATTGAGAGGACCGAGGGATGGGGCGGAGATTGGTTAGGTGCACGTGTCGTATGTTGTGATGACGTATTAAGGAAGTTGTGGGGCGCACACAGGACCAGATGGATGGAATGGAGTTTGGGGTTGAGTAGTTGTAATTGAACATACGACCAGAGCCTCTGTGAAGCGGACGGCGAATTAGTCCAGTTCTTCGGTGAATGTCAATGGAGTCCAAATGAAGGTGGTTGTTGATTGAGTGGAAGTCGGTGGTGGAGTGGAGTGGTGGCATTATCCCGGTGTGGAGCTAGCGCTAGCTTGTACCCAGATGCCCGGTGTCTTGTAAATGGGAGGGCGTCCATGGCTCCCAGGCGCCGCTCCGGCTTCTCGACGGTGGCGCTGCGACCGCTGCGTGACGGGAGCCGTGGGAGCAGCTCAGGTAGACCTGGGGAGCAGCAGCTCAGTCAGACCCAGGGAGCAGCAGCTCAGGCAGGCCCAGGGAGCAGCAGCTCAGTCAGACCCAGGGAGCAGCAGCCCAGGTAGACCCAGGGAGCAGCAGCTCAGGTAGACACAGGGAGTAGCAGCTCAGGCAGGCCCAGGGAGCAGCAGCTCAGGTAGACTCAGGGAGCAGCAGCTCAGGTAGACCCGGGGAGCAGCAGCTCAGGTAGACCCAGGGAGTGCTGATACTTTACAGCCAATTGACACTCCGCTGCTGGATAAAGGCCTCTCCACGCCATTTTGATAATCGGGGTTCTTTATAAATAATTCACCTTACTGATCGGTGCAGGTTGGTGAAGTGGAGGGCTCCGGACCGATTCAGACATTACTTGCTGTCGATGTTGGTCATTGCCAGGCATCAAACTTAGGTTATCGAGTTTATGGTGCAGTGCCTTGACCACTTCCACTGCTCCACCCAGTGACTAAAATATAAGTAATGCAACGATATGTCGATGCGTAAATAACTGCTTCAAATTTAGATGTATCAATTTGACTTTTAGTAATTTTTTTTGTAATGTCTTTGTTTCTATTATGCATGTAGCTCAGGCTATATTTGCAAGAGGAATAGCAGCTGTGGGAGGTCATTACATCTGTGTTGGTAAGTTGACTACAGTATATAAAAATATATAAATTAACTTACCAAATAATTATCCATATAGTTGTATTTTATGTGATATGTACATCACTTGGAACTCTACGTGTGAAGAAAACCATGAAGAAAGTTCTTGTAGTATTAGTTTGTAACAGAAGGTGGCAGTATAACGTCACTGAGGAAGGGTAAGTGAAATGTGTTGAGGCATTGTCCATTATGGCTCTGACCACACCAAAGAGAGAGGAAATGTTTCCTCTCGCTTCTACCCTGTAGTACATGTTAGTTACGTATTCCTTACTTCATTAGAGGGAACAGAGCCAGTTTGACCTCTGAGATTATATAATTCACTTGGGTTTAAAATCTTCACAGCCAGGATCATTAGCTCTTGACACGTGTAATTTAGACTGACTGCAAATGTCAGCATCTCTCTTGACCAACTTGGGTTATATGATGCCACCTTAACAGATATGGACATGTGCTGGTTTATGTGTGGAATAATTTGTATGTAGAACTCTTTTTTTAAATCAGAGATTGATGTAAATGTATACTATTATAGTCATCTTGTTGGTTCTTTCGGTAAAGTCACATAGAAGGGAAATAATAAAATAATAAAAATAAAACATAATAAAATAACATTCTCACGACGTTTCGGCCACAACACAAGCAGCCGTCCTCAGGTGAAGAAACAGAACTGTCGGAAAGACAGCGCTCCACTGTGGAGCTCCAATGTGGAGCGCTGTCTTTCCGACAGTTCTGTTTCTTCACCTGAGGACGGCTGCTTGTGTTGTGGCCGAAACGTCGTGAGAATTTTATTTTATTATGTTTGATTTTTATTATTTCCCTTCTACGTGACTTTACCGAAAGAACCAAGAAGATGAATCCCTGCAGTCACGAAAGCTTTAAATTGAAATTTAACTATTATATTTACTTATTTAATCGCACTTGCACTTAATAACTACATTTTTAAATAGCTTGGATTAAAATGTTTAAATCGTTGAGAGGTGTGTGTCTTTCTAGCTTTGAAATACAGTTGCATTTGTTATATTCTTAATATTGAATTACATACGTTCACATGCATGCATGCAATTTCGAATGTCTTCTTATGAATTGCCTCCCCAAGGTGATGACAAAGGTACATTCTGTCATGCAGTGCAATGCAAAGTCAACTATTTCCGTCATTTCAATGCCGTCCCTGTAAAAATGCTTTACCCACTTGAAAGCATTCACATTGTGCACACATTAACTTTTATCAATGATCGGAACAGCACAGCAGCACGACGCTGACCTTGTTTATTCTGCCTCATTCAGGCTTGGCAAGCCTTGTGACATAAATTGTATGGAGCTTGATGCTCAGCCAGCACGAGCAGCTGCGCTCAGCGTGAATTTGTGTTGGTGTTTCGGCAGGGACATCCTCGGGGTGCATCTTAGTGTTTGACGTCCCCGTGAAGGGCACCAACATCACACTGTCCGAAGAGCTGGGACAGCACACGGAGGCCATCACCTCTATCGCTGCCGAGTGCTCCATGAGAAAAGTGAGTTGACTAGGGCGACACTTTGATGTGGAAATGTGGACCCTGTCTGGCATCTTTGAGCAGTAGTTGTTTATCCTGGATGTGTGCGAGCTGCTGTGTGTTAGATTAAATTTGAGTGTGTTGTCTCCAGTCAAAAGTTGTTATAACATAACGTAAACTCACATAAGCAGGTGTCTATATTTTAATGTTCACATTTTATTATTCTACTTAAATATAAATAATAGCAGTCTACAGAAAAACATTGCACAATAGACTCATCAAAATATAGCAATAAATTACCAGTTTTACCAAAATTTAAACTGTGTTTTTAAGGAAAAATATATCACGTGATTGAACGGGATAATGCACTTCCAACTTTAAGATTACTTTTAATATCCTTCCATGTTTGTGCTTTTGAAACACTTTAGCTACTTAGTCTTACTTAATTTATTTTAATTGGTATTTGTCTCGGAAGCCTTGCTTTTATTCAGATTATGAAACTGGCAGCACAATACCAAAATATCAATTTCACTACTTTAGTTATAAATTATGGATCAGTAATAGCTGTCGTTTTGACAAAAAGGACCATCAGCCTCAAAATGATGCATGCACTGCAGTAATCCATGCTGTATGAATCTTGCCAGCACTTTAACATGAAGAGAGCAGGAACAAAGCTTTCAATCTCCCTAAAACATCATTGATCTTAAACTGAACATTATGGTAATTAAATCCCCATTGGAAGATATTAACCTGAAATATTTATAATCCCTGTCCTGGCCTTCTGGTAAAGTAGAGCGGGCCAACGCCATTCGCCGCAGGAAAGATAGGTCCTCTGTATTATTAAAGAGACTTTTAGTGGGTTTTACATTAAGAAGCAGTTTGCCAAAGTGCTGATACATTATTCATGGTGCTCTTTAAAGAAACGGAGGCAGCGTTCTTTGGGGATTACCGTGCTATATGGCATGATGAAACTGGGCAGCAGGTAAAATCTTTATTATCAGACATTCTGGAGGTCTCATGAACCTTGAGGCAAATGACTCCTCATCACTAATTCATAGCTGGAGATATTGTACATACTGCAGTCAAACAATGGCAAATTGGAAACATTCCAGGCTGTCACTCACAAATAGAGGATGTATTAAACATGATGGGCGCAATAATACATTCAAACAGTATGTCCCCGATGGAAGGAGGATTAAGGCTCGACTCATCTGCCATCCTCAGGGAAGGCATACTCATCTGCCAAGGCCATAAAGCATGAAGTTTAAGAGCTAATTCATTGCACAATAGCTCTAGGATGAAGTTTTAAAAGCAAATTCATTGCAGCTTTATCAAAGGGCACTCTAATTGCTGTGGCATGAGTGTAATGGATGTGGATTTATAGTGCCATAGTTAGTACTCTGTCTGCTACTCATGCTCCATGCATTTATGGAGGTCACATTGAATGGCAAATACCAAAGGCTAATGTATTGTTCATTGAACACACATATTTGGTAGATATAATCAAAAGTGTGGATGCATACAGTGAGGGAAAAAAGTATTTGATCCCCTGCTGATTTTGTACGTTTGCCCACTGACAAAGAAATGATCAGTCTATAATTTTAATGGTAGGTTTATTTTAACAGTGAGAGACAGAATAACAACAACAAAATCCAGAAAAACGCATGTCAAAAATGTTATAAATTGATTTGCATTTTAATGAGGGAAATAAGTATTTGATCCCCTCTCAATCAGAAAGATTTCTGGCTCCCAGGTGTCTTTTATACAGGTAACGAGCTGAGATTAGGAGCACACTCTTAAAGGGAGTGCTCCTAATCTCAGCTTGTTACCTGTATAAAAAACACCTGTCCACAGAAGCAATCAATTAATCAGATTCCAAACTGTCCACCATGGCCAAGACCAAAGAGCTCTCCAAGGATGTCAGGGACAAGATTGTAGACCTACACAAGGCTGGAATGGGCTACAAGACCATTGCCAAGCAGCTTGGTGAGAAGGTGACAACAGTTGGTGCGATTATTCGCAAATGGAAGAAACACAAAAGAACTGTCAATCTCCCTCGGCCTGGGGCTCCATGCAAGATCTCACCTCGTGGAGTTGCAATGAGCGTGAGAACGGTGAGGAATCAGCCCAAAACTACACGGGAGGATCTTGTCGTTGATCTCAAGGCAGCTGGGACCATAGTCACCAAGAAAACAATTGGTAACACACTATGCCGTGAAGGACTCAAATCCTGCAGCACCCGCAAGGTCCCCCTGCTCAAGAAAGCACATATACATGCCCGTCTTAAGTTTGCCAATAAACATCTGAATGATTCAGTGGGCAACTGGGTGAAAGTGTTGTGGTCAGATGAGACCAAAATGGAGCTCTTTGGCATCAACTCAACTCGCCGTGTTTGGAGGAGGAGGAATGCTGCCTATGACCCCAAGAACACCATCCCCACCGTCAAACATGGAGGTGGAAACATTATGCTTTGGGGGTGTTTTTCTGCTAAGGGGACAGGACAACTTCACCGCATCAAAGGGACGATGGACGGGGCCATGTTACCGTCACATCTTGGGTGAGAACCTCCTTCCCTCAGCCAGGGCATTGAAAATGGGTCGTGGATGGGTATTCCAGCATGACAATGACCCAAAACACACGACCAAGGCAACAAAGGAGTGGCTCAAGAAGAAGCACATGAAGTTCCTGGTGTGGCCTAGCCAGTCTCCAGACCTTAATCCCATATAAAATCTGTGGAGGGAGCTGAAGGTTCGAGTTGCCAAACGTCAGCCTCGAAACCTTAATGACTTGGAGGAGATCTGCAAAGAGGAGTGGGACAAAATCCCTCCTGAGATGCGTGCAAACCTGGTGGCCAACTACAAGAAACGTCTGACTTCTGTGATTGCCAACAAGGGTTTTGCCGCCAAGTGCTAAGTCATGTTTTGCAGAGGGTTCAAATACTTATTTCCCTCATTAAAATGCAAATCAATTTATAACATTTTTGACATGCGTTTTTCTTGTTTTATTTTGTTGTTATTCTGTCTCTCACTGTTCAAATAAACCTACCATTAAAATTATAGACTGATCATTTCTTTTTCGATTTAAAGCTTTCGTGACTGCAATGATTCATCTTCTTTGGTTCTTTCGGTAAAGTCACGTAGAATGAGAATAAAATAATAAATTGATAAAATAAAATAACACAATAATATTCTCACGACGTTTCGGCCACAACACAAGCGGCCTTCATCAGGTGAAGGGGGCGAGACTGTCTGGTAGGACAGCGCTGGAGTGTCCTACCAGACAGTCTCGCCCCCTTCACCTGATGAAGGCCGCTTGTGTTGTGGCCGAAACGTCGTGAGAATATTATTGTGTTATTTTATTTTATCAATTTATTATTTTATTCTCATTCTACGTGACTTTACCGAAAGAACCAAAGAAGATGATCATTTCTTTGTCAGTGGGCAAACGTACAAAATCAGCAGGGGATCAAATACCCTTTTCCCTCACTGTATATGTAGGTGTATAGAAGGGTTGTGCCCTCGATGTTTTGGATTAATAAAAAAACACATAAAAAAATCAGACCTTCATATGATATTTCTGATGATTGAAAATGAGTTCTGTTTTTTTTTTCAAATTATTTCAAAAAGGGAAGTGATGTCACTGATATCATGTCACTTCTACTGTTTTCCCGCCAACAATTGTGTCACATGGTGTAGAAGGACGTCACTGTTGTGTGCCCGAAAACACATACATATATAACATAAGATAAATTATCTGAAAATATACAAACTTTTCTTAAAAATGCAACATTTTACAATCTGAAACTCATCCCTAGAATACATGTATAGCATATGAACATGATATATTTTAGTGTACACTTACAGCCTTTTTGTCAAGCCTCTGTTGGATGAGGGCCTCTCTCCCAGTTTCCGAGGTTATTTGATCATATTTCACCATGCGGATTGGTGAAGACAGGGATCATAGACATGGGAGCATAGTACAGTACAAACAGATTTTGCTGTGCTGTCCTCAGATAACCACAACATAAGTTCTACAATAGCCTATAACACCTGTTATGCATGGTGGTTGCCCATCCAAGGACTAGGCATGCTTAGATTCTGCTTAGCTTCTGAGATGTGATGAGATTGGGCGCGTGCAAGGTGATATGGTCTAAGGAAGATTTCTGTGTATTTTATTGTAACTGAGATGAATATATTCAAAGTACATGTGATTCAAGGAATTTGAGCTCCTTGCATTTTTTACTTGAAAATAATTCGAATTCATGTATATTTGTACACAACCTGCATATCTGTGTTTTATTGCAATATTATGCTGATGTTTATACAATTGACCTAAATATGAAATAGAAAATATACTCTCAGTTCGAGTTCAATTTCAGGTCGGCAAGTGTGGAAAAAGTTTTACATTCCCATGTCTTGTGTTTGGAAGCATACACAGTGGAAAGCAGCCAACTTTTTACATCCAAAGCAAACAGTTATGACTGGTGCCACGTGTAGGTCACTTGGAAATATTTAAGTGTGTCATAGGCGTAATTCCGAACTTCACGGAGCACTGGTCGCAGGCAGTTTAAATTCCCTGCATGTTAGATTGAGATGCATGACCACCGTCTTTCACAGGAAAAGAACAACAACCGTAGTTTCGTTTGGCCAGCTAACCCAAATTATTACGTATTTTGACATTCCGTGGCTTTGGGGAACAAAAAACAGTCACTTGATTTGAAACACCTGTACTGCGGCTCGGCCATTCGCCACACAATTGTCGTCTTGCCTCAATCAACCATAGAGAATGAAGTGATTATATCATTGATTATTTGGTTCAACTAATCCAAGTCAATGTATTGGTTCTGGTGTATTGTGAAGCCTTGTAATTGGTTGTGTTTTATCGCAGTGCAAGGGGCTTGGTTTGAGTTAAAATTGGTTTACATGAATTTTAGTTTACGTGATTTTTTTTTATGGTCAAACTAATTTATTGTGTGTTTTCAATGGTGAATCCATTTACTTTACAAAATGTATGCTTTCATG